GTTTTCTGCACATAAAACTTCACGCATAAAACGTGAGGTATTATGCGTACTCAACTCTGCTCTGGTATGTAACGGGTATTAGGACAAAGTGTCAAAAATGCAAGCAACGCGAACAAACCTAGGATCTATTTTCTATTGCTGAACTCGTTGCTCTAGTTCTCTTTCATCTTTTTTCCATCAAATTTTATCTGTATATCTGTCTCTTTTTAAGTTGCGAAAGTATAGGCTAGTTCAGCAATAAAAAACAGGTCCCTAGTGTAGCAATATTTTTTCTCGGTAAGTTTTGCAACATGCTCCACAGAAAAACGTATCTTTTGAGAATTATTAAGAAATAAGTTCTCTTATTAGATACGGGATGCATTATGAAATTTATCAAAGAAAAATGTATTAATCAGTTGACTATATATTTATTCATATTGAAATAATAGTTCTGCACGGATATTGAAATAGTGAAAATTCGGCACTTTGCAATTGTTAAATTTCGAGACTTTGAATATACAGATATCTAGAAATAGATCGTTGATCATTTTTGCACATTAGTGCATCAATAAATTTGTAAAATGCAATGGAATTTTGTTTAAGGTTTTTCCATTTTTTTTATATTAATTAATTTTACTTGTCACATCTCTACATATATAAGTATTAAAGTAAAATAAATATCGAAAAGCGAATATGAGATATCTTATAAAGTATTAAGATAAAATGTAAAATATCTTCGAAAGTAATCACTTTTTAGTAATTTTTCCAATATTTTCATGTTTGAAGTAATCAATAAAATTTACCATAAAATTAAATAAATAAAACCTATTTACCATAAAAAATGTAGTTGTATCTTACATTGTTAGAAAAAAAAAAAATCAGAATAGCACATATTAAGGCTCCTGGCCTCGTATATTTCTTTTTAATGACGTCAAAAGCGAGAAAATGCATGCAAAAAATTCTTGCAAAATATGTTAAAATAAAAATATATATCCATAAAGTAACACTTACACAATCGATTAAATAAATTTGTAAGATATTTTGTGCACTTCTCTTTTGTTCTAACAATCAATAATTTGTCGTAAATTAACATGACATACAATTCATCTTCTTAACCTATTTCTTCGCCTATTTCTATTCAGATTAATTTATAATAAATTATTGATGGTTAGAGCAAAGGAGAGTGCACGGAATATCTTATAAATTTATTTAATCGATTGCAAATGTTACTTTATGGATATATATTTTTATTTAACGTATTTTACAAGAATTTTTAGCATACATTTTTTTCGCTTCTGACGTCATTAAAAAGAGATAGACAATGCAAAAAGTCAGAAATCTTAAAAACAGTGAAAGATTTTTTTCTATAATTTTTTAATCTTAACTCTATGCAGACAACGTAAAGTTACAGAACATATCCAGCAACGTGTGTTTGGGGTTGAATCTGACTCCAACGTTGTCAGCAGAAGATTAATTTAGGAAAAAGCTAAATATAACTCAGTCCAATTACTAAAAAATTATACCGTGTGCGTACGTGCATATAAATATATTTATAAATAAAAATTAATAAGAGAAATTCTCATTATATAATTATCTTAATTAATTTAATCTCTGCGGGAAAACGCTGATTTCTCATCGTCATTATATCTGATAAGTCGTGATCTGATAAACTATTTTACTTTTTGATAACATGTCGATAAAGAAATACGTGTTCTTGTTATCTTTTAAGAGGATCGATTGAAAAATAAAAATATCATTTCTATCATAACATTATAAACTTAACAGATCATATCACAGGCATCCTATTTTAATCAGACCACTTGAATATCTCTGTAATAAGTATAAGATATTAAAATTCTGTTTTTTCGACTTTGTACGATTGCGAAGAGGATATTTTTATAATAAAATTGATCTTGAACTATTCGATTAAGATCACATCTATAGGATATTTTGAATATTTTAAATTGTATTTAAAATATAGGTTCTTATAGTATATAAATCTATTCTTCTGTTCATTCTGCGTATAATAGTACTGAAGTAGATTATTGAAAAATCAATACTTTTCAAGATATTTTATATTTTATTCTGATACTTTTCAGTGTAAGATATGAAATATCTTTTAAATTATTCATTTTTCGATCTCATTTTAATATTTTAGAACATAGAATAACGATAGAAATCGATTAAAATGATACTAATCTTTACACTGCTGCATCAATATATTTAGAAAGTATAATAAAATTCTTTTTTTTATGTTTTTCTATGCTTCTAACTATGCTACAACAATGAACTCTACTGGTTATTCTACATACAAAAATATTGATATTAGGTTATTAAAAGTCAATACTTTGCAGGATACTTTATATCTTGTATTGATTATATTTTTATTAAATATCAGGATAGAGAGAATGTAAAATATATCGAGGAAAGTATTTATTCATAATTATATAAACTAGGAAAAGCAGAATTTCGGCATCTTATTTAGTTTAAGAGATATTCAAGTTTGTTAATTAAAATTGGGCACTTTATATATACTACTTAAGATTTAAATATTAAAAGATATAGTAATTTATGTTTCATCAAAGATATTATTAACATAATATTATTTTATCTCTTTTTTCTAGGTACGCTGAAACCTGCAGATATTCCAACATCATGGTTGGATATGGTAGATCCATGCATAAAAATCATGGAGTCTCAAGTCAAAACGGAAGTTGAAGCTGCCATGACTTATCTTGCAATGGTATATAAATCTGGATCTATTTAAATAGTTTTAATTCAACATATAATCATTTTCAAATCTCAAATATATAATTTTATAAATTATTATATATTATACCATTAAATATGTGTTAATATAGTTTTTATTTTATCAGGGTGCTCATTTTGCACGTGATACTATAAATCGTCCAGGATTTAGCAAATTCTTTTTTAAAAGTGCAAGTGAAGAAAGAGAGCATGCACTAAAAATCATTGAATATTTATTAATGCGTGGTCAACTTACAAGTGACGTTAGTAAACTTCTTAAGTTTCCTTTGGTGAGTATTTTTCTTTTTATGAATATTGCATAAGAATATTTTAACACAGTTTTCAATATTTCGAAACAGAAAATTTCGGTCAATTTTCGATTTGCTCCGCCTAGCGCTATTCTCTTTACCTTTTCCTTACCAATTCCCCTTACCTCACTGCTCTGCACGCAATCTACAAGCCGTTTAAAATTCAGGAACGTATGACTTGTAAGCATTTGTTTTCAATAGCTTTTCACTATTAGAAATATATGTTTACGAATCATACTTTGGTGAATCTCGAACGACATGTAAGTTGCGCTCGGTGATGAGGTAAAGGAAGCAAATCGAAAATTGACCGAAATATGTAACGCGTGCCGAATTCTGTTCTAGAATATCTAAATGGAGATTATAAAAGAATTTATTTCGAACATAACTAATAATAATAAAAATTTTTTTGTTCAGAAACCGATACGTGAAGAGTGGAATAGTGGAACTGAAGCTCTCACTGACGCTTTGAACTTAGAAGCTCAAGTTACGCGCAGCATTCGTGAAATAATCATGACTTGCGAAGATCCGAAAACATACCCTTTCAATGATTACCATGTAAGTATTATATAAACATAAAAGTACATTTTTATAAAAATAATATGTTATTCATAACAATTTGTTGTAATTTTCCACAGTTGGTGGACTACCTCACTTCTGATTTCTTGGATGAACAATATAAAGGTCAACGTGAACTTGCTGGTAAAATTTCGACGTTGGGTAAAATGATGCAAACTCATGGACATTTGGGAGAATTTTTATTTGATAAGAAATTATTGAATGGTGAAATATAAGTGTTTTAACGATCGTGATATTCTTATAAATACATGTAAAATTATGGTCATATTTAGAATACATATACGATTTAGGTGACTATATATTTGTATCTTATTGTAGCTATGTGAAACATAAGATATAATGGTTTTGTGTGAATTTCTAAATGTGGTCTGTAATATATATGTGTGTATGTGTGTGCGCACACACACATATAAAAGAATACAAGGAACAAAATGTTTACGATATTTGTTAATCTATAATAAATATATCTTTTCCTTGATAGATAAATAAAAAGATTATTTTGAACTATTGTATTATTCAACGACACTTCATTATTTTTAAAAAAGGGTATGACCTAAGTACAGACCTAAAAGTTTTTTTTTTTAAAGTTAAGTAAATAAATTATATCAAGAGTAAAAACATTAGAATTAATAATATTATGTTCAAATAAAAAAGTGATATAAAAACATCAACAGAAAGTAAAAAGTTGCATAGTAAATGTTAAATATGTTTTATCTTTAAAATAGTTTTATTATGAAATAAGTCATGAATTATCTCAGAACAGCAAATTATCTCAGAAAATATTGATTTATTTAAAATATGTTTGAGAGAGAGAGAGAGAGAGTAGTACAATTTAAAAAAGCTATCAGATGTTGATATTTATTTGATCTTGAAACGACTTTGAGAAGTGTTGTCAAGATTAACATACAAATTTTAAATAAAAACCCTTATTTTTTATAGCCCTTATTCTTTGTAGCTGACGTTGAGACGTTTCCAAAATATTATAATTAATGTGACAAATTTTTTTCCATGAGAACTCAGAGTTATGAGTCTTCGAACCTTCAATATGTAGGTATTTGAACCTTCTGTATGTAGCTATGTGTCAGCAGAGGGTTTAGAGATTGGAGTCATGAAATACTATAAAAATAACGATCCGTAGACTTTTTATCTTTGCTGACACACACATACATAGGCAAGAAGTATAAATCCAACCGGGCTACCTCTACATGGTACACTTTGTGTAATACTAACTTTACAAAAAAAATCGTTATAAATAAATTACAACAAAAGCTCAGCTAAAAGATATTTAAAAAAATATTATTAAAATAACCTTATTCAGATCAATTGTACTCTCGCGAATACTCTATTGAAAAATCCAAGACAATTTTATAAATAAAAAGTAATGATATCAAGAGGTTTTCGCCAAGTGCGAATAATTAATCATCTCTGTTTTTACTTTTATATACTTTTATAAACATATGTGGTTTTAGCTATATAATATATTTATAAATTAAATATATTAATATATTAAATAAAAAATAAAATAATTAGAGAAATATAATAAAATTGAAAAACTTACATAACAGCACTTCTAACACATATATTTCTAATAGTGAAAAGCTATTGAAAACAAATGCTTACAAGTCATACGTTCCTGAATTTTAAACGGCTTGTAGATTGCGTGCAGAGCAGTGAGGTAAGGGGAATTGGTAAGGAAAAGGTAAAGAGAATAGCGCTAGGCGGAGCAAATCGAAAATTGACCGAAATACTCTTATAACTTACATAAAAAACACTTGGCGTGCCTTTTTTTAATACTATATCGATAATAAATATAATATTTTGATAATCATTAAAATAAAAGAACCCGTTTGCCTATAAAAAAGACACGCCAAGTGCTTTTTGTATAAGTTATTATAATTTTTTTTCAACTTTATTCCCAGTAAGCAAATTGAGCGCAGACTGCGCGCAGATTGGCAACAGATTTGATAAAAAATTCACAACAAATCCATAATCATCTGTGTCTACATTAGGCTACGGTTTTGACGACAGATCTTGCTGTCGGGCAATTGGTGCCAAATTTGCAGCAAAAACCGCGCAAAGCTTGCAGCGCAGCAAGGTCTGCGCGGTTTCTGCTGCAAATCTGCAGCAATTACCTGACAACAAGCTCTGCCGCATATCTGGAGGCAATTTGGCAGCAAGATTTAATATAACAGATCCTGCATCAAATTTGTTATCTATTTGCCATCAAAAGTTGATAGCTAGCTCTGCTTGAAATCTGTTCGCGCAAGTTTGTCTATCTGGGTTGTATTTCTCTAATTATTTTAA